ACAATGTGTATGATCATCAAGTTGGGCCATTTCCAGCACAAATCCAGGTTTTCTCCCCCCCTCCCCCTCACCCACAAACCCACTCTCCTGTTGGTAATAGCTTATCTAAAGTGATCACTATCCTTACAATGTGTATGATAATCAAGGTGGGCCATTTCCAGCACAAATGGACATGTACATTGGTCAAACTGGACAGTCTCTACGTAAAAGAATAAATGGACACAAATCAGATGTCAAGAATTATAACATTCATAAACCGGTCGGAGAACACTTCAATCTCTCTGGTCACGCAATTACAGACATGAAAGTTGCGATATTACAACAAAAAAACTTCAAAACCAGACTCCAGCGAGAGACTGTTGAATTGGAATTCATTTGCAAATTAGATACAGTTAACTTAGGCTTGAATAGAGACTGGGAGTGGCTAAGTCATTATGCAAGGTAACCTATTTCCCCTTGTTTTTTCCTCCCCCCCCCCCCCAGACGTTCTTGTTAAATCCTGGATTTGTGCTGGAAATGGCCCACCTTGATTATCATACACATTGTAAGGAGAGTGATCACTTTAGATAAGTGATTACCAGCAGGAGAGTGGGGTGGGGGGAGGTATTTTTTCATCGCTTTGTGTGTATAAAAAGATCTTCTACACTTTCCACAGTATGCATCCGATGAAGTGAGCTGTAGCTCATGAAAGCTTATGCTCAAATAAATTGGTTAGTCTCTAAGGTGCCACAAGTCCTCCTTTTCTTTTTATTCTAACTGAACATCTACCCAGTTTTCTGAACATCCTAACATTACAGGTGGGGCTTGTAGCACTGCCCATCATAAAACTCTGGTTTCAGTTGCTTATAACTTTGCCAGACTTTAAATGTTTGATCTGAAATCTTCCACACCAGCTGTCTGCCTCCGGCTGAATTTTATTAGAAAATTTCAGCCAAAAACAGTTCTGCCATTTCTAAGAAGAAGGCTGGAGAAAAGTACCATGTTTTACCCATGTTAGAAAATTCTGATGACCTGTTCTTGGAATAAATCTAGCACCCCCATACTTTAGAGCAGGGGCTTGAAATTAGGTAGAGGAGTCACCCTGGTATCAGGAATGTGCCTTTTCCCCTCCTTGTGAAAATCTGCCCAAATATGGCCAAGTTTGAAAACCTTTGAAAAATCACAGTTTGCAGATGCTTAGCGGAAACTTAGATTTTTGCCGCTAAATCCCCTGAACATTTGTCCTCGGTGAGCATGCTCCATCCCCTCACAGCCCTAGTGCTGAACAGATGACACATGCACTGATCCCACAGAGTGCTGAACATGCTCCAGCCCAGAACTAGGGAAACTCAGAATAACTTTCCCTGTAGTTGCTGCGGCCAGCTGCTATGGGACAAGTGGGGCCAGATACCAGAACTGAGCCCCTTTCTCTCATGTGCTCTCAATGACTGTGCAGCTGTCACCCAGGCAGAGTAGAGGAGGGCTGGACAAAGAGACTGGGACTAGGTGTGTGTTGGGGGGGGGGGTTAGAAGAGAGAGATTTGATAAGGAGCTAGGTATGTGGGAGGGGGAGAACTGGGACTGCCTAGGCAGAGACTGGGGCAAGGAGCCAAAGAGAGGATGGGGGGAGATTGAGATTGGATGAAGAGCCAGGGAGGGAGACTGGGAATGATAGTCAGTGGGGGGAAGGTGGGGGAGGGAGAGACAGATTGGTCAAGGAGCCAGGAGGGGGCAACTGGGACTGGCTGAGAAGGGAGCCTGGGACTGGATGTGGCGTTGGGGGAGAAAGTAGGAGCCCGGGAGGAGATTTGGATTTGGACAGTGAGCCCAGAGTGGGAAACTAGGATTGGCAACTGGTACTGGGATGAGAAGCCTGAGGACTGGGACAAGAACAGCCTGGAGGAAATGGGGCAGAAGGGGTCAAGCTTTGGGGAAATGGGAAGAAAAGTCTGTGCCCGCTACAGAACACTTCCCGCCAGAGTCTGGAATGAAACTCACCATTTCTCAGTTGCTAGCAGATATCCAGGTATCCCACTGGCAAAGTGTGTATCTCATCTCCCTCTAGTGCTGGTCCACATAGAGGATGACAACCTACTACTGCTATAAGTTACTCTGTTAGTTCAAGTGACAGGTCTGTGTGGTGGATCTAGAGGTTCCAGCCCTGCTGATGACTTGTGGGTGTCAGGATGATGCCACATGATGGAATTGCTGTTTATAATTTTTCAGTTTGCTTTTTTTTAAAAAAAACCTGGAAAATATACCCTCCCTCCAAATCAAACTGTTAAAATAACATTAATAAAGATGCAAAGTCAAGCATTCAAAAGTTAGGAAATGCTAAGATTAAAGTTGCCTTAATTTGGCTCCCTTGTGCCTGAGCATTATGGTAGAGTCTTATAAGAAGATCACATACTATTTTTCCCATAGGACCCCTGCCTCACTGAGTGCACAGGACGGACTTGCTCTGGGGTGAATCAGGGTTGTGTAGTAAAGGAGGCTGTTGTCTATAGACATCCTGCTTCATTTGTTGCAGAAGCTGGAAGGTGTGTAGTGAAGGAGGCAGAGGACTGGTGGAAGAGAGGATGTTCTCAATGTTAATGCAGTTGAATGTTGCCCTGGAGAAGTGGAGTCCATCCCTGCCTCTCTGCAGAGATAGCCTCCTTGCCCAGAGTTCTTATATGATGCTGGGAAAGTCACTTAAACCAAACCTGTCACAGAGGGCTGTTAATTGTGTGTTCCTCATTTTTGGGGTGCCATCTTGATATCCTGGGGTCTGATTTGCAGAAGGGCTGAGCACTCTCAGCTGCCACTGAAGTCAGATTATTAGCTCTCTTCCAGTCTTCTGGAACTCCCCAGTTCTTCAAGGCTTACTAAAAATCAACTTTTATGGTCCAGTGAGTTCCTACGCCAGCTCTTTTAAAACTCCTGGATGTAAGTTATCTGGACCTGATGATTTAAAAATGTCTAACTTTAGTAGCTTCTGTTTTATGTCCTCCTGAGATACAAATGGAATGGAAAGAATGTCTCATCACCATATGACATTATCATCTTTTTTTCCATAAATACAGAACAGAAATAAGTACAGTTCTGCCTTTTCTGTATTATTATTGATAATTCTACCATTTCCACCAGTAATGGACCAATACCATTTTAGGATGCTTTTTTCCCCTGATATATTTAAAAAATCTCTTCTTTTCCTTAACTCTGCTGACCAGAGATTTCTCCTTGTGTCCCTCTGCTTTCCTTATCAGTTTTTTACAATCTCTAATTTCTGATTTATATTCATTACTACCAATTTCCTCTTTCTTCCATTTGTCTTTATAGCTGCCTTCACTTCCCCTCTACACCAGTATGATTTTTTTAACTGGTAACGTCTTCCTCGGTTGTGGATTTTTCAGCATTTAATTAGGTGTTCTTAAAAGACTGCCAATTATCTTTCACATTTTTCTGATTAAATCATTCCTTCCAGCTGACTTGGCTCAGTTGTTTTCAGCTTTGTGAAATTGGCTATCTTAAAACACCAAGAACATGTATTACCAGTCTGGACTTTATTCTGCTTGCACATTATAAGTGTGATCAAGTATGATCACTTGTACTTTAGCAAACATTAATTTTAGTTCTCTGATCAGTTCCTCTATCTGCTAGGACCAGGATGGCTGCAACACTTTTTGAGTTAGGAAATTGTCATCTATCATGTTTAGAAATTTAAAAGATGTTTTCGTACTGGCAGCATGAGACCCTCCAGTATGTCACTCAAATTGAAGGCCCCCATGATCATTTAAATGAGTTATAACCATTTGTTTTAACATTCCAGTTATGATGTTGCCTTCCCATCTGGTTAGAAGAAAGCATTTTAAAATATCTCGAGGAATTGTAATATGTAGTGCCAACAAGACAATATAAATCAATAGTCTGCAATACTGTATAGATTGGGTGTAGTCCCCACTCCTCGCCCCTCCCCTTTTGCTAACACACACACTCCTAGTATATAGCATTTATCACAGGCTAAAAGGGAAAGTGTTTTGGGGTGCCCCATGTCATGTGGGAGCATGTCACTGGACCTGTTGGGACATGATAGGTCACCTTCACTGCTGGCCTAACTCTGTTCAAGTCAAAGGGGTTAAGTTGCCTGGGAATTTGTCAGTCACTTTTGACTGTATCATTACAAGGGCTCAGATCCTGAGCTGTGGCCTAGAGGTACTCAGCGCAACTCAGACAGCGAAGATCCAGAAGTGTCTTTGAACGCCTTTTACCTCCCTCAGTGCTGGGCCAGCTGTATGCCAGGTCAATCCCTCAGCACAATTTACAGCAGCCTGAGGGGTTGCTCTAAGTTGTGCCAACTGCCAGTAACCCCTGAGGAGCTGTTATACCAGCTAGGAAAAGTCAGGGTGCAGGAAGAGCCTGGCTACACCAATTTTCCCCCATCCACACCCCTTAGGCCACCCTCAGGGAGGGAGGTTGGTATAGGAGCCTCTACAGCAGCTCTGTGCCACTGGAGGATGTTTGTATGCTGGGGTGATCCTCCTGCGGCCAGTTATGCCAGCACTCAAGTTGCTCTGCACCAGCAGCAGTTTGGTGTTGATGGTCCCTAATGGAGGTCAGAATCTGGCCCAGGTTGTTTCTGTGGTTTGGTCTGGTTTTCTGAACCTGGATAGCCATGAAAGTTAGCATCTGTATGTTACATAGGAGTTGTTATTTGTAAATGCAAGTGAAAAAGCCAACAACGTTTGTCTAGTGGTCATGCTAGGTCCAACGTTAAGCTCTGAAGGAATTACAATTTATAGTGTAACTAAATTCAGTTATTTTCAAAGTGTCTCTGTACAGCACTTTAACATTCTTGGCCTCAGACAGTGTAACAGGTGAAAGCTGTGAAGCTTGTAGATTTTACTTTTCTTTGTCATTATATATTGCTGTGCTATGGCAAAATGTCATTTCCAGAAGATTTCTATGTTTCATGCTACATATGCCTTGTTTTTATCACTACCTATATCCTCAAGGAGAAAAAATGATTGCTCACTACTCACCGCAGCGTAGATGAAGGTCAGTTGTTGGAACTATGTTGTCAAAGTGCCAATAATCCTCCCTCCAGCTGATAATATTTCCTGGGGAACACTTCTTTAACTCACTCAGCTCTCTTATTCTGTCCCACAGTTGAAAGTAGTACAAGCTGCCAATGAAGCTGCTGCTGCCCCGAATGATGTAGCCATTCTGGATTTTGTGCAAATGTCCTAGCACCAAGCTCCCGTCGGGTTCCAGGCACATGGTTCCGTTCATCACTTTATCAGACAATAGGTTGCCATTGTGGTAGACTTGCAGCAGTCTCTTATTACCATCCCATAGGCAGCACACACTGTGCCATATAAAAAGAGTTAAAGCAAGCTCAATGTCTATCTTTGTGCCAGAAAGATACAGCCTTAGATGTTTGTTTTCACTGCTGAGTCCGAGCTCGAGACCTTTTATGTCAGTGGAGTTGCTGTTGTTTTTATGGTATGAAAATGCTGTCCAAGAACTGACATTTGTGGTTCTGTTTAGATCAATGAACACAGTGAATTGGCATAGTGGGGGGATGCTGTTGTTGGCCAAGGATACATACTTATCATTCTTTCCAAATAAATCCAGTTTTTTTCCTTTCAGGAAATTTGTTTCTGTAAAAATGTGGGAGGGGTGTGTGAAAAAGAAGAAGAACAAATCTCACTTTTCAGAGAGAAAAATGCAACATGACCTCATTCAGGTACTTTTCTATTAGGATAATTGCTGCATGTAAATGGATTGTGCACATCCCATGACAGCCGTTTTCCAAATCACTCTCTTTAGCAATATCACAAGATGATCAAAAAATTAAAGGGTTATTCTATTTCTGGCTCCTTCTCTCTTTGAAATGCAGAGCTGAGGCCTCCTACACCACTTTCAAAGAGAGCCTAAGTGGGTCTGATTAAACAAAGAAAAGCCAGGGATTTCAAGTCTGTTAAATTGAAATGGGCACAAAATTCAGCTCTGGATTTCAAATGCCCCAACACTTGAGTGCAGGTATTTGGATCAGAGGTCTTGCTTCAGCCCACTCTGAATATAGGAGCTATTGGCAGAATTTGGATCTGGGTTTGGAATTCAGATCACACACAAATTTCAGTGAGATCCCATGGGTGCATGTTAGGGCAGAATTTGGCCACATGGGCCTCATTCTCTGTTCTGCACTGGCCCTTTTGCCCTGCCAAGTCAGTTATGTACTATAGGAGGTCCCCCCCTATACTGTGGGAACGAATGGCTGGCCACGTCCTCATCGCTCCCAGTCCCTTTGCACCATCAGAGAGGTGCAAAGGAGCCATAGCAGAATGGAGAACTGAGGGTCATAGGCGCTGACTCTGTGGGTGCTCCGGGGCTGGAGCACCCACGGGGGAAAAATTAGTGGGTGCTATGCACCCACTGGCAGCCAAGCTCCCCTCACCCCCCGCCTCACCACCTCCTCCTCCTCCCCCCCCCCCCTGAGCACGCTGCATCCCCGCTCCTCCACCTACCTCTCAGCGTTTCCTGCCCGGCTTCCGCCAAACAGCTGTTTGGTGGCATGCTGGGAGGGAGTGGGAAGAGACGGGGCCAGGGCGGGGATTTGGGGAAGGAGTTGGAATAGGGGTAGGGAGGGGGCAGAGTTGGGGCGGGGACTTTGGGGAAGGGGTTGGAAGGGGCAGGGCCGCATGGAAGGGGTGGAGTGGGGGCGGGGGTGGAGCACCTAGGGGAAAGCGGGTAAGTTGGTGCCTATGCTGAGGGTCTTATATCCTTGACTTCTATGGGCACATTTATGCAAGTGACAATAACAGGATTGGGCCCTTTGGGAGTATTCAGAAAAGTTGGGATAGTTTTCTTCTTTTTTTTTTTACACTTGTTAGCTCTTGCTGCCCTTATCTCCTTAGCCCTTGTGTTGCAGTATTGTCAGCTTGTCTGCAACAATCCACCTGCCCAACCCTGGGTCAGAAAGTTCCTGATTTTGCAACCTTTAATCAGACTGAGTAGTAAACAAATAGTCCCATTGGAGTCATCACCTTGCCATAACCTTTCCCAAATGTGTATAAATTAAAATCCCCAGTCCTACACAAAATTAGGAAAGCCTGTAATGTTTGCTGCAGTTCAGTCATAGGTGCAAGCCTGGGTACTTCCCTTCCAGCTGTTTGCATCAGAGAAGCCCTGGCTGCCAGCCCAATGCAGAGAACCTCTCTTCAGCTATGCTAGAAACAAGAGGCACTCGTACCCTGCCATGGCTTCCTAGAGCTACACTCCCAAAGATGAAGTCATTACTCAGTGTGGGTGCTTGCTGCTGCTAGCTGTTCCCAGCACCTGACTGTAGTCATTAAATATTATGAAGTTGGTTAGGAAGAAGGGTCGGAATATTTTGTTGCTTCTTTTGTCTTTATGATCTGTTTAGAACCTAAATAAGCGCTAATGGAAAAAGAACACATCAGCTGCAATCCAGCAATAAAACTCTGTTTCCCTTCCAAAAGCCCAGAGTTAAGGTGGCTGCTGCCATCAGAGAATTAAGTTAAGCTGCAAAACTGAACTCTTTATTCTATACAAAGCCCCACAGAACATAGAACACCAGTACATGACATCTATTCATATAAAAGCATTCAGTTTTCTGTCCTCACCTGAGAGAGGCCATGAGCCAAATTCTCTACTGGTGTAAATAATCACTGCTCCATTTGGCCCATTGACACCAGCAGATAATTTGGACCCTTGTATGTAGCAAAGCATAGGGACAATGAGGCCTATTTAGATCCAAAGTATAAGTCAGACTGTCTGTGGAGTGATGATTTACAAGTTTGCCTTACTATCGTCCTAACATGTTTACATGTTATTTATTTATTCCTTTTAGGAGACAACTGACATGGGGGCTGAAGGCTTTATTACCATATCTCAATGCTTTTTCCAATCTCTTTCTCTAATGACATCATTTACACCAAACCCTGATTGCTAGCCATACACAGCAAGCATTGTAAATCCCCTGAGTCAAACCAGACCTGTAAAGCTGAAGTGATTGTTTGCACTTTGAATAAAGGTTACACACGTCATGAACTTGTGAAACCAGGAGACACTTCCCCAATTTCTGCTACATATGCTTCAAATCAGAAGCACTGATTGAATTATGGTCTAACTCTCTGTGGCCAATTAAAACTGAAGCGTTGCTTTTCTACCAAAGCCTCTTTCTCCCACGGTGTCAATAAAGTATTGCTGTGATACATAATCACAGTCTGGCCTGGTATCTAATGTGTGAGAGAGTCCCTGAATTCCAAAGCTCAGGTCATTGTACCAACCTCATGTTCTAGTATGCTGGTCCTGATCTCATTTACACCAGTGCAGCTCTATTGGTTTAAATTGAGTTACTCCTGACCTACACCAGTCCAGATTAGAATCAGGCCTGTTGGCTTGCATATGGTGTCACCATTGACACCTGTGAGTAAGGGTGTATGGGAGTTGAAATCAGAAAGACAGCATTTTACACCCACTGGGCTGAGGTGTAAATGAGTAAATAAGGCTCAAGGCACAGGAAAATCTGGGCCCTTATATCTAAATTGGTTGGTTTACAACATAGAGCCCAACCCAGCATTGGGAATCCCCATGAACATACTTCTGGGCATGAAGTCAGTGGACATTTTGCCTGTCAGGACTGCAGAATAAGGTCTATAATGGAGTCATAGAAGGGGACAGACAGAGGGAGATCATCATTTTCAGCCCAAGTAGAGTAGATTCAGTTCTCAAAAGCGCAAGAGAACACAGCACAGATCTTGGTCATCCTTTGCATAGTTATAAAAAGGCTCTGAATCCAGCTACCTGGAATTCCCCCAGTCTAGGGTAACCCCCAGGTGGCATTAGGTTGGCAGAACTCTTAGGCTTTAAGCTCAGAAGGAACCATCATGATAATCTAATCTGACCTCTGCATCCTTCCTTCGTGGGTGGCCAGGGCACTACTATGCTCCAGCAATCTCCAGATCATAGAGCAATCCCTTAGGAGCCACTGCAGCCATAACCATAACTTACATCAGCCCTCAAGCTGCTCTAAACTGCATCAGGAGTTAATTTGACCTTTGGCCAGTTCTGAGCCTGGGGCAGGAGTGTGAGTGAAGGTAGTGTAAATCCATCTCTTCCTTGCTGTGAAGAACACAGCTCAGCAGCAACTGAGGCTACATCTACACTACAGCACTTAGACAGTGGCACAGCTGCACTGCTTGTGGTGGAGACACTCTACACCGATGGGAGAAAGCTCTTCCTCAGGCTTCATAACTCCTGCCTCCACGAGAGGCAGCAGCTATATCCATGTGAGAAGCTCTTGCTTCATGGTGAGAAACAGCTTTGCAGCTGCAGTGTTTGCACAGCACTTGGCAGCAGAGGCTAGATCCTGCCCTAGGTGGAAGCAGCCAACATAGCAAATAAGAACCAGGACACTGGCAGATACATCCAGCTGGTACCAGGCAGGATCCCTGAGGGCAGGAAGTGCTGCTGAACTCAATTTCCTGCTCCTTACGGCAGGTGCAAAACATGCCTTGTCCAGCTGCTGACTAGCACTTGCTGTTGACTGCAGCATATGCCAGCAGCCAGCTGGGGCAGGGTGACTGGCCAAGTACCTCTCTCCCCCTGGGTGCTAGTAGTAGAGGTTCTTCACACCCTCCTCCCAAGTCCTTGTGGACCAGCCAGGGGGCTTCAGCTCAGAGTCAAGGGTTTACAGATAAGAAATAACTATACCTGAGAGAAGGAAAAGACTGGCTGTGACAATCAGGCCACAAAGAAACTTGTCAGGAAAGTGGTGTACAGGACTCCACACAGGTGTCTTCATTTCTAGACATATTCTGAAAGAGATGGTAACACTTTATTCATTGCACTTTAGGAATTCAAAACCCTTTACACAGATGACTAAACAGTATAATCCTCATATCACAGATGGGAAAAGTGAGGCATAGACAGGTGAATGACTTGCTCAGGATCACGAAGAGAGTCAGTGGCAATCATAAAAAAAACAACCCAGGTGTCCTGACTTCCAGTCCCCTGCCCTAACCTCTAGACTTGCTGCCTTCTTATAAAGCAAGACATCCCAGTTAACTCATGACTAAAAAAAATCACAGTTAACTCATGCGATTAACTAAAAAAAATTAATCGCAATTAATTGCAGTTTTAATCGCACTGTTAAACAATAGAATACCAATTGAAATTTATTAAATATTTTGATGTTTTTCTAAATTTTCAAATATATTAATTTCAATTACAACAGAATACAAAGTGTACAGTTCTTACTTTATATTATTTTTATTACAAATATTTGCACTGTAAAAATGATAAACAAAAAATTAGTATTTTTCAATTCACCTCATACAAGTACTGTAGTGCAATCTCTTTGTTGTGAAACTGCAACTTACAAATGTAGATTTTTTTGTTACCGTAACTGCACTCAAAAACAAAACAATATAAAACTTCAGAGCCTACAAGTCCACTCGGTGCTACTTCTTGTTCAACCAATCACTAAAACAAACAAGTTTGTTTACATTTACAGGAGATAATGCTGCCCTCTTCTTATTTACAGTGTCACCAGAAAGTGAGAACAGGCATTTGCATGGCACTTTTGTAGCCAGCATAGCATGGTATTTACTTGCCAGATATGCTAAACATTCGTATGCCCCTACATGCTTTGGCCACCACTCCAGAGGACATGCTTCCATGATGATGACACTCATTAAAAAAATGTGTTAATTAAATTTGTGACTGAACTCCTTGGGGGAGAATTGTATGTCCCCTGCTCTGTTTTACCTTCATTCTGCCATATATTACATATTATAGCAGTCTCGGATGATGACCCAACACATGTTGTTCATTTTAAGAACACTTTCGCTGCAGACTTCACAAAATGCAAAGAAGGTACCAATGTGAGATTTCTAAAGATAGCTACAACACTCGACCCAAGGTTTAATAATCTGAAGTGCCTTCTAAAATCTGAGAAGGACAAGGTGTGGAGCATGCTTTCAGAAGTCTTAAAAGAGCAACACTCCGATGTGGAAACTACAGAACCCAAACGACCAGAAAAGAAAATCAATCTTCTGCTGGTGGCATCTGACTGAGATAATGAAAATGAACATGGGTCAGTCCGCACTGCTTTGGATTGTTATTGAGCTGAACCTGTCATCAGCATGGATGCATGTCCCCTTGAATGGTGGTTGAAGCATGAAGGGACACATGAATCTTTAGTACATCTGGCACATAAATATCTTGCGACACTGGCTATAACAGTGCCACGCGAACGCCTGTTCTCACTTTCAGGTGACATTGTTTGTCTGAGCGATTGGCTGAACAAGAAATAGGACTGAGTGGTCTTGCAGGCTCTAAAGTTTTACATTGTTTTATTTTTGAATGCAGTTATTTTTGTACATAATTCTACATTTGTAAGTTCAACTTTCATGATAAAGAGATTGCACTACAGTACTTGTGTTAGTTGAATTGAAAAATACTATTTCTTTTTTTTTAAAGTGCATATACATGTAATCAAAAATAAATATAAAGTGATCGCTGTACACTTTGTATTCTATGTTGTAAGTTAAATCAATATTTGAAAATGTAGAAAACATCCAAAAATATTTAAATAAATGGTATTCTATTATTGTTTAACAGTGCAATTAATCGCAATTAATTTTTTTAATCGCTTGACAGCCCTAGTTTTTATATTTTCAGTAACAACCTTGCTTGCTTCCAATTTAGACCATATTTTGGAGATTCTGTGATCCCCTAACACGACTGAAATTTAACTCTTGTTAGCAAAATTCGTGTTAACTGTGTAAGTCTAGGTTGGTATTTTCAAAGGAGCCTAAGAGATTTAGGTACCCAAATCCCATTGAATTTCAGTGCTCTCTAGGTTCATTTGAACCTCTTAGCCCTAATGTCTTAACTCAAGGACATAGATAACGCTGTGTATTAAAAATGGTATGTGCCCAGGAGACAACTAGAATCAAGTTTAGAAGTTTCTTGTTCCTATTCAAATATATTTTTTTCATTTAGGTCAAAGTCCTGGACCTTGCAATATTTAAATATTATTAGCAAATAATTTGATACTAAAAAGATGTTACTTGTAGTCTGTTCCTTGTGTTGCATATACCCAAGACTCTTCAAAGCAGCTGAAAAGTGAACTGGTAACCTCTATCTGTTTCCTAACAGACAGTTGTTATAACACATGAACACACTGCAGACGAAATTATTGGCTAACTCTATCAACATTACTGGATATATCACACAGATTCCTGGGAAGCCGGGACTAGAATGCTGCTCTTTCATCTTCCCAAAACGTCTCTGGGGCTAGATTCCCAAAGGGGACTTTGGCTAAGCATTGCAGCACCTAACTTTTAGTTACCCTTCTGCCAAATGGAATTCACAACCCTGAATTAGGGCACCCAGGCTCCCCATATACTGCATGAGGGTAGCTAGGAACTTTAAAAGGATTCACAGAAGCCCACACGCTGAGTGGGGAGCTGCCTAAGCTAGCCAAAAGGAAATGCTGAGGAAAGGGGTGGGGGCCAAACCCCACTCCTCAAAGGGAATTAGAGGCCTGAGCCTTGGCGGGAGGGAGGTGCCTCTGTCCACCCAGGATTCACAGCTGTGAACCCTCTCTGGGAGTTAGGTGCACAAACCAGGTCAGTCCTTTCTCGAGAAAAACCAAGGAGGAAGAGACTGTGAAGATCATATCTCCCTTCTAGCCCAGTGGTTAGAGCACTCACCAAGCATGTGGGATACCATTCTGCCTGATGTGGAGCAGGGGTCTTGACCCCAGGTCTCCCACCTTCCAAGTAAGTGGCCTCACCACTGGGCTGTGGGGTATTCTGAGGTGTGGCTCTCTGACTCTCCTGTTGAAGTTATTCCCCTCTGTACTACAAAATTAATTCACTAGGCCAGAGAGACAGAGAGCAAACAAGAGCAATTGACTCTAGAGCACAGAGATTAGGGCACTCAGTGAGGATTTGGGAGATGCGAGGATTTGGGAGATGCACTCCCTGCACCACCAACCTCTGTGTGTTGTGGAGGGCCCAATCCAGTTGATGTGCTCAGAAGCTGCCTTCAAGGGCATCAGCCAGATCAGGCCTTGCAGGCGAGATAGGTGGGGGAGAACCTACCTTGTGAATCCTGCTGTGAGTTAGAGGAGCTGAGCTGCTTGACAGTGTCAGGGCTGAGGTGACTGTGTGCATGCCCTCCACCAGAAATGTAGGCATCTAGAGGACGGTTCTGTGGAATTCAGGTACCTACAGGGTTAGGTGAGCTGAGCATTGGTTGAAACAAGTGGTGCCTTAATGTTGGATTTAGGTGACTAAGTCCACCTTATGAATCCATCTCTGCAGGCCTCCATCATGGCACTAAAGATCTTGCTTCGGTGCAAGTAGCAGATTCATTCTTCTCTAGTGTAGGAGACGCACACGGTACATTGCAACTTCTGAACCAGCACAACCGGCACTCGTGGGCTGATCAGGCCCTTTATGCAGTGATGTCGTTGGGCGTCATGAACTTGCTTCTGCTCCTACTGAAGTCATTGGCAAAACTCTCACTGACGTCATGGAAGTTACAGCACGCTCAGCACCTTTGAAAATCAGACCAGATAATTACGTAAGTTACCTAAATGTGGATCTTTGAGCCTAACAACATAGGTCTCTACTTTTGCAAATCTCAGCTTCAGTGTCCCAGGCTGACAGCTGGGCAGCTCACAGGAGCATTACATTCATTCAAAAACGATTCTTTAAAGTACCATAATGTTTCCACCCAATGGGCTTCAATGGAGATAACATGTAAGGACAGTTACTGATGTGCTTAAGTGTTTTTAGCATCAGGACCTGTGTCTATACTGTATTTGTAAACATCATGATTTGATTAGATTGAACAAATAATTCTTCACTACTGAGCTGCACAAACAATTTAAAGTGGGGTAGGGGAGCCTGTTAGGAACACCAGCTGAGGACTAGGCCCTACTTTTTTTTTTTTTTTAAATTTAAGAAGGAGAGGAAGAAAAGTCAATGTTTTAATTTAGCACAGAATATATGGGAAAGAACTAAGTCAAACAAAATCAGCTTTTCTCATTTTTAGGCCTTGTATGCACACAAACTTTCACCAATTTAGTAAATCTGATGCCACTATTATTTTCGTTTAAAAGAGGCTTATAGTTCTGTTCAGCTTAAACCTGTTCTCAATAAATTTAAGCTAAACCAAAGCAAGCCTGATTTAAACTGAAATAAGTGGGTCTACACAGAGCTTCGCACCAGTTTGACTAAGTCAGTTTAAAATACCTTAGTTAAAGCTGTGCTATTCTGTGTCTAGAAAAGCCTCTAGCTGCTAGCTTTGTCTCTTGGAAGTTCAGGAAGGTGCTGAACACTCCTGTGAGTTGTCAGCATTTCCCACATTCACTTCAGTGGGACTCAAGTGCGAGCTCTGCAGGATTGAGCCCGTAATTAACAATGTTGTATTTAACTTGTAAACTTTGGGGTCAGATCCTCAGCAAATGAAAATTGTCATAGCTCCAATAAAATCAGTGATTTCAAGGGAATGTGCAGATTTATGCCAGCTGAAGACATTGCCTTGCATTCTGTGCAAATAGTCATTACAGTCTGAGCACTGTGAAAATGGAATTGGTCCCTCTGTAGCCAGATTAACTAAACATAAATTTAGTTTAATAAAGCAACTGAGCTAATAATAGATATCTGCACAGTTTTACAGTGAAAAAAGCAGATTGCTGCACTTGTGAAACTAGTTTAAAAGATTTTATAAAATGTAGCAATTAGAAAAAAATTGTTCAACTTTCTATTTAGTGTCTGACACAAGCAGTTGTTCTTATACATTTACTCCATTTATATATAAAAACTTTATAGCCATTACAAGATATTTTTCAAAAACTCACCTGGTAGGGAGGCAGCAAATGAAAATCAAGGTAGATTTTTGCCAAACACCGCACACATGTCACCCTTTCAAACAACAAAGTGCATTATTGGCACAAAGAGGAAATCCGATGGGATGCTTTAAAGCTTTAAGTGGATCAGCTAGTGAATAGCAGACCATCTCCATTTTGAGTTCTCACCCCTTAGAGTTATTAAAAAATCTGCTGTAACAACAAACCTGTCTGCCTGCCTTCTCCTTTATTACCCTACCTGTGATTTGTTGACTCCTGCCATACCATTTCACTGACAAATCATTTTGTCCTTCTCTGCAGCCTATACGACATCATAGGCATATCCATGGGGGATAAAATTTTATATGCGTTGAAGAGCGAAGTCCAGAGTTTACAACATTGTCAAATGTCAAGTGGAATTGAAAAAGATGTGCTAAGGCATCTTCTGCTTGGTTCTGTTTAGAAAGTGACAGAGGTCTGAGTAGTGGCTTCAATTTCCCCAGAATGGTTCTCCACCCTCTTCTCTCTGTGCATTACTTCTTAGCAAAGATCCTCTCCTGGGCCCATCTGCCCTTCCAATACTTCATTCTCCCCACTACTTGGTTCTAAAACCATTTAATTCTGCCAGCTGCCAGGAAAGACTCTATGGATCAGAGGCTGACAGTCTCTCAAAAGAGTACCATCAGGTTATTTTACTCTCTCTCCATGGTATCTAGGTATCTGATACAGTATGAAGATTGATATAACATTTTAATTCAAGATGGACAGGTTCTTGCCATCTTAGAGCTTGGCATTTCTTTACCTCTTCCTCTCCACTTGGCATCTCCATCTTCCAACTGCTGTTATTGTTCGTGGGCTTTGGAGAAAAAGTGAGGTTTGAACAGAGCCCTGAAAGGAGTCTGGATGGAGCTCATTCGTGTCTCCTTTTGAGTGGATAGTATCCCGCCCAGAATGCCTTGCCTCTTGCTCCCAAACTTCACACTCTAGTTAGCTCCCATTGCTGGACCTGAGCAGGGAAGGAGCAGCCAGGCAGGTGAAGGGGACCCATTACTGGGTCCCCCATTCAGCAAGAGGCCTAAACAGGCCCCAGCTGCCTCCAGCTTCCATCCAATCCTCAGCCACGCTACCCATCTGCCTCTATCTTTCCCCAGGCATCCCACCCTAGTTCCCACAAAGCCTCCTTCCTTAGGTACCCCCATTTCTTCCACAGACACCTCCCACAAGCCCCGCTGTCTCCAGCTTCTCCCTTGAGCTCTCCCCTGGACAGCTCCACAAACCTAACTACACCCAGTTCCCAGCTACTTTGGCTTCCCCCTGGATACCCTCACAAACCCATTGCCTCCCTGACTGCTGCCCTCCAACACCCCCTACTCTCCAGACACCCTTCAGGTCTCATCCACCTGCCACAGCTGCCAAGCCCTGTGCAGTGCCATGTCCTGCTCCCACCCCTGCTTGGGCAGGGTTGTTGACCTTATGTTGAAGTTTATGGCCATACAAATTTATGGATATGCAAATTATTTAAAACGCTATACTGCAGATATACAAAATATTTAATAAGCTAAATTGCCTATTTTGAAATAATTTGCGTGAACTATCCCTCATGGAGCTGCACAACACTTGGCAACTGTGTTCAGGTACTCTCCAAATGTAGCCCTGCGCAAGGCTTTTAAAAACCACCTACAGGTTGTACCAGTTAAGACTTTATGGCTACTTTGCATCCCTAGAGGTGCAAGTGTTTTTATTGTGATTTCTATGTGCTGTTACACAAAGCACACAGAACAGCACACAGAACTTCCCTTTCTCCCCCTTGCCATACCCCTCTATTTGTTTTTCTGGTGTTTAGTTCAGAGGTAGGTTTAATCACATTGACATTTTTACTGTGCTTTAAATAATGGGTTTTTTGTATTTACTAGAGGTGATTGAGAGAGCCTGGAGAACCATGCTGGGATAGGCTTTGTTAATATCAATTACCCGTCATTCTGACAAGTTACATCAGAGGTTTGGTGTAATAGCCAACAGCCCCAGGTCCTCGAGTGAAAAATCTCTTTGGGAAGATTAGAGGAAGACGTGACACAAAAAGCTAAAAAATCTCCATATGAATTAAATGTAATGAAATGAAGCTTGTACAAAATGGCTCCGCCACAAAGACCACGTTTGGCTGTTCAGACCCAAATAGAATGTTCAGTTGCACTATCCTTCTTAGGGTGTTTTTGCTCCTCTTTGGATATGCAAAGATTTTTGCCATGGAGGTTGCTATGGAGATTTTTAAAATCTTCCAAACTTCAGTGTACTATAATTATGTCGAAAGCCTGTCTGCTGGGAGTCTGATTGTCAGAATGAGGAATGCAGGTGTCTGGTTCACTAGCATATCTTGCCACCGACCATTTTATTGAAATGAAAAGATTCATATGCCCCGAGCCTTAATAGCTGCTTTCTGTTTCTGTTAGACCTTTCAGCACAGAATGGCTGTCCTCCTTCCCAAATAACTCCATGAATCATTGTCTAAGTAAATGGGTGTGCCCTTTTCAGAATACCTCAACTCTGCATTATGCATCAGTTAATGGTGTTTGGAGAACATTCATTTCCCAGTTGGCCTGAGCTTCCTTTATACAGCTGGACATTTATATTTGATCCCCAAACTAAACTATGTGTAATTATGGGAGAGTTGCTATCACATTTATTCACTTTTGTTATTTAATTCTATCACAACTGATTGAATGTTAAAAGCATGGACGTATACAAACAGCTTTCTTGTTAGAGTCTCCATATTTTCTAGTAGATAGATCTACTGTAGCTATATGTGTATCCCTGGACAAAATGCAAGTATATATCTTTTAAGCCAAAAAAAACTCAGATTGTTGTTGTCAAGGTTCCTTCCCCACTCTGAACTCTAGGGTACAGATGTGGGGACTTGCATGAAAGACCCCCCTAAGCTTATTCTTACCAGCTTATGTTAAAAACTTCCCCAAGGTACAAGCTTTTAGGTACAAACAATATGCTGCCACCACCAAGTGTTTTAAATAAAGAACAGGGAAAGAGACCACTTGGAGACGTCTTCCCCCAAAATATCCCCCCAAGCCCTACACCCCCTTTTCTGGGGAAGGCTTGATAATAATCCTCACCAATTGGTACAGGTGAACACAGACCCAAACCCTTGGATGTTAAGAACAATGAAAAATCAATCAGGTTCTTAAAAGAAGAATTTTAATTAAAGAAAAGATAAAAGAATCACCTCTGTAAAATCAGGATGGTAAATACCTTACAGGGTAATCAGATTCAAAACATAGAGAATCCTTCTAGGCAAAACCTTAAGTTACACAAAAACAGGAATACGCATTCCCTCCAGCACATCTTATTTTACAAGCCACTAACAAAAGAAAAGCTAACGCATTTTCTAGCTAGTTTACTTACTAACTTTACAGGAGCTGTAAGGCTTGCATTCCTGATCTGTTCCCGGCAAAAGCATCACACAGACAGACCAAACCCTTTGTTTCCCCCTCCTCCAGATTTGAAAGAATCTTGTCCCCTCATTGGCCATTTTGAGTCCGGTGCCAGCGGGATTACCTTAGCTTCTTAACCCTTTACAGGTGAAAGGATTTTGCCTCTGGCCAGGAGGGATTTTATAGCACTGTATACAGAAAGGTGGTTACCCTTTCCTTTATATTTATGACAGTTGTAATCGGAAATATTGATATCATTAAATG